CTGGAGATGAAAAGGAGTATTTGAGCTCTGATTCTTCGTGTCAAGCAGATGCAGATATAAGCATAGATGGTGATTGGGTAACGACTGAGTTTTTGAACGATATCAAGTGTTCTGGGGTTCCAAACCACAGAATTGTTTTGAAGAAAGGAGTACCAATTATGTTGTTAAGAAACATTGATCAAACATCGGGGTTGTGTAATGGTACAAGACTAATAGTTGAAGAGTTGCGGAGAAACGTTATCAGTGCAATTGTTGTATCAGGAAATAATGCCGGTGAGAAAGTTTACATACCAAGAATGAATTTGGTACCGTCAGATCCTGGATTGCCGTTTAAGTTTCAAAGAAGACAATTTCCAATATCTTTATGTTTTGCCATGACAATAAATAAGAGTCAAGGCCAAACATTGTCATTTGTTGGATTATTCTTGACCAAATCGGTATTCACTCACGGTCAACTTTATGTTGCAGTTTCACGAGTGAAAACCAAGAAAGGATTGAAAGTGTTAGTTTTAGATGACAGTGGTAACCCTATCAATTGCACCAAGAATGTGGTTTACCCTGAAGTTTTTCAAAAAATTTGGATTTAATTAATACATTTATACGTTTGATTCCAATTTTGTTTCCCATTAAATTTAGTTATCATACTCTGTTTGTGTTGTATCATTTATTAAAATTCTAACATTCTCTATTATATTTATCTTCATTTTTTAATTATGTACTTAAAACAAACATTTAAAAGAGTTAAAAATAACATGCGTTCGACCCCCGTGCGTTGCACGGGTTAAATACTAGTTAAAAATAAAACTAAGCCAAAAGCATCCCAACAGCAGCCCAGCTTTAAGGTCATGTTTTAGCCAAAAGTAAACCAATAGTAGCCCATTCTCAAAACAAGTGGTGCTTAACCTCCATAATTGTTTGTGGTTTAACATGCCCACATTTTAAACAGGGACACCGAATTGAGTTAGGATCTATGGCATGGTGTGATGCAAAATAACAAAAACGGTCAACCCCATTCTCATATTCTGCTGATCTTCTATCTTTAGACATCCAACTTTTATCTATAGACATCCATCAAAAAATCCATTATATCTAATAGAAACAATAATCATAAACAAGTGATTGCATACTTGAATCTGTATTTGTTTGCCAAAATAGCTAAAGTAGCTATTTCAACAACAATAAGAACTAGAATAATCTTGTTTAGACCAAGTATTAAACATCAAAATCAGTTCTCAAACACTAAAAAAATTGAATGATCCGTAGATAAGTATCGCAGATTTGGCTATGGTGGAAAACAAAAAAAAAAGAAAGAAACATAGAAGCTTTGAAGAAGAACTACAATTGTTGATTTTTGAGGTATCTTTTGTTACCCTTTTCAGGGACAGAATACTTGTTTTTTCTTTCTATTTTGGGCGATGAAATGTTCATCTTGAGCAGAGAACATCCAAGGCTACAATCCATATAGATTACATTAATCAAAAACACAAATCAACATCAACAATCACGTACTTAAACATAAATTGCAAAATTTTTGAAATAATTGTTAACACGGAGAAAAAAAAATATGAGAGCACTGAAATTTCACAAGTTCACTTCAAATTTCTAGAAAAGAATCTAATAAAAGCAACTAGGATTAAAAAAGAAACTTAAGAGTAGAGCAAAACCTTTGAGAAGAGATCAAAGAACGGTGAGTAGTCAATTTCAATGCAATTGCACAGATGAATCGCAGCACTTGCGTCTCTCGATTTTTTTTAGGGTCTGAAACGAAGCCCTAAAAATTGTGAATAGGGAAGCCAGAATCGAAGAGAAGCCCTGAAAATCGATTGAAATTGAAAATGGGAAAGAGAAGAATGGGACTTTTGCAGTGGCGGGTTGAGAATGTTGGTGCGAAGAAGAGAGGGAAAATCTGAGCGGCTGAAAAATTAGAAACTAATTGCAGTAGGTTAATTACGGAGTTGATCCTTCATTTTTATTAAAAAAATTTAATTGTAGTAGGTTAATTATTACCCACTAAGAAGAAACTTCTCCGGATCCGTAAAAGCCTACAACTAACTGACGTGGTTTTAAAAATTATAGAGTAAAAGTTGTTTAAAAAAATTTAAAGTAAAATATCCTCCGTATAGGTGCAGTGGGCAATAGGCTTGTTAATTTTAGTTTTCAAAATGAAAAGTGAATTGATGTCCTTAAAAATATTTTTAATAAAATGTGTCATAAAAAACTTTTAAGGACACTTCATAAATAATGTGTCCTTAAATTGTGTCCTTGTATCCTATTTTTCTTGTAGTGATAATTTGTGATGTCCTTGAAAAATGACATTTACAATTATTTTTATCATTACTCTTTCACATAATTCTTTAATGTTATATATAAACGTTGTGTCTAGATATTTTTTTTGGGGAAATAGGAGTGGACACGAGTAATGATAATATAGAAATTTCTAGCGTCAAAGTATGTGAAATTATACGGAGTATGCATAGTACTAAAAAAATATTTTGAAATGTTAATATAGAATGTTAAGTTGTGATATTATGTACGTACGATTCGAATAGTCCTATTTAAGGTATAAAAACATAGAAATTTCTTTCTTTTTTGTATAACTTTAAAATTTTGGTTCTATTTAAGTAGATTTCAAATATACATTTTCCTAATATTCTTCCCTTAAACAGGATATAAAATACGTACTCATGTCTCAAAACAAAGTTTGTGTTTTTATTTTTGGTACCAAAGTAAAGTGTATGCTTCTCGAGTTTGCCATGTAGAAAATAAGTATATAATTCTTATAATATTTCCTTTTACTAAGTAAATTTCAAAAATCACATATCTTATTTTTTAAATTTTTTTAAACTCCATAAACTTATAAATTTAGAGTAAATTTTTGGTACGCAGAGACATAGGTAGAAATTTACAATTGCATTTAAAGTTTATTTTGTTCAACTTATTATTATTATTTACATAGTATTATTTATTTTTATTAGAATCAAATTTATCAGATCAACTTAAAATAAAATATAAATAGTTTTAAATATAACTATAATCAAATCATACCAAATTTTGATAAAAATGAGATCGAGATCAATCCAAGAGAACAAGATCTCAATCTTTGGACTTCTCAAAAGAGAATGAGTATTTAATGTTTAAACATCATTATCATCATAATATTAGGCCTTAAATTTATATTAGTGCATGCGTATGTAGTAGCATCAATAAAGATTAGTACGGTGTACAAAAGATTCTA